AGCAGTGTCCACAGCCCAACATCCAAAAGAAAATATAGAGTCTTGGCTCTATATGTCCCACTTCCCCACTTTGGCAATGGGACAGGACACCCTGACCCCACCTTCAAATTCCTGTCGCAAGTAGTTTTTGTATTCATAGTAAATTCAAAACCACTTTAACTTTGCTGACAGTAAATACAAGAGCCTTTCGCTCCTATCTAGGTGAGGGGATCAGCCTGCAGGCATTGAAGAAATCGCTTAGGTAGCAATGATTCATTACAAAGCCATAACTCACAGTTCAGGTTTAACTATTGAGAACAAGTGTAGTTTATTCATAATTAGGCTAGGTATTATCTTAGGTACTGCTATGATCAATATTGGAGGAACTTTGATACTCTTTATTTTCTAGTCCCAAGAAGGGATGGAACTGCAGAGAATAGTACAACAATGCAAGATAAACTAAAAAGAACAAGAATATAGGTGCACTCAACCCTTTAAATATAGGACACTTTTCTTCACAGTAAGGCACTATTTTGCGGGTGCAATTCAAACCAAGTCCCCCAATTTCTATGATGAAGAACCAAATTTCTGAGAGGTATTTTGTCCTTCAAATAATTTCTGACTTATTTTCTGGGGCTGAGAGTTTGTTGTCTAGGTTCACCCAAATGGTGTCTATGGCCAAATGGTGTAGTGGTTTGAATATTGGACCATGACTCTGAAGATCACAGTTTGAATCCATGCTCAGGTATGAAAACCCATTGAGTGATCCTGGGCAAATCATATTCTCTCAGCTCCAGAAAACCCTGAGATAGATTGGCTTGGGGATCAACATAAGTCAGAATTCATTTGAAAGTGCAATACAGAATTCAGTGTCATTTGCATTCAGAATTCCTTGCTTTTTGTATATTTTCCATGAGTCCTTCTAAAAATGTGGAAATCAGCATAACAGAGCTAGAGTAAACATATGTATAGCATAAAGGGAAAGGGAAAAGTTTCCCCTTGACATTAAGTCTAGTTGTGTCCGACTCTAAAGAGTGCTGCTCATCTCCATTTCTAAGCTGAAGAGCTGGCGTTGTCCATAGACGCCTCCAAGGTCATGTGGCCAACATGAGTGCTGTTACCTTTCCACCAAATTGATCTACTTACATTTGCATGTTTTTGAACTGCTATGTTGTCAGAAGCTGGGGCTAACAGCAGGAGCTTACCCACTCCCTAGATTCAATCCACCGACCTTTTGGTCAGCAAGTTCAGCAGCTCAGTGGTTTAATCTGCTGAGCCACCGCCCCCCTCCCCATGTATAGCATACTTTTCTTTAAATATATTTATATTTTATAAATATGTGCTCGTATATTTCATAATATTATTTCTATTTACTAACAAAGTTTATGCACATTGAACCATCAGAAAGCAAAGGTGTCACTATTTCAACCAACCATACATTTACTTTTGGATTTTGACATTTAATTTTTTTTTGTAATTTTGGATCAGGAATGTTCACTCTGTATTTCTTACTCTCCTGCCTACCAGCAATTGACTACATTGTTCAAAAGAATGATTATTCAGAATTATTCAAAAGAAGCAAATATAATGTAAATATGGACCACAGCCTACAGAATCCAAATTTCCTTTGCAAAGAACTCAAATTACCTTGATTTGTTTCAATGTTTTTTTAAGAAACCAAGTCCTGCTATCAACCAATAAGTCATATCATATATGTTTTTATTTGCTTTCATTTTCATTCAGTCATACACGCCATCAAAATCCAAAGCAACTGCTTTCAACCAGTTTTTAACAGAAACAGTTCAGACTCAAGAGACTTGTTGTCTTCACTTAAAACAAAACCTTTATTTATCATCAATAGTGAAGCGGTTAAGGCGAGGAGAAAGCAAATGTCCTTGTGGGTGACTGATTTGCTGATAAGGGAGAAAAGCTTAGATCTAGATGTAAGATGGCTGCGGTCAGGTATCACCCAGCTTCTTCAAGATGAGAGATAAGATACCACTTTCGTCACCAAGTTATCACAAAGACGTTTCACTAAATTCACATGTTAATTGGCTCAAACTTCAGACCTCTGACTGTATAACTTTTCTGAGAATGAGAAAGCCCTAGTTGTAAAGTTTGTTAGGAACCTTACAGAACAGGATTTTAAACTGCACAATATGTCCAACTTTATACCAGCGTTGAATGAAAAGTAATGCCTCCATCTTTGTTACTAGGGTTTGGATGGGAATATTTTAATAAATCAAACACAGAAATAATCCTTAGAATGTGCTCTTTAACTACCACTATTCACTTTTCCACATAATCACCAGACAATTGGATACATTTCTGCCAACGATGAACAAGTTTTCTGAAGCCGTCACGGAAGAAGTGGACACTCTGTTTCCGCAACCTATCGTGCACAGATCTTCCGATAGCGGGGGGGGGGGGGGGGGGGGGGGTCAGCCCCCCCCCCCGAAATTCTCATGGTGATTCGCGAAAAGGCCTTACTGGTGCATTATTTAAACTGTTATGTTTATTCATATCATGATCTGATCACCATACTCAATATATCCCATATGCATGGGGGTATTGGGGTAATGATACAAAAGGTTTGCTAGGCTAGACCCTCTTTCACTCATACTCAGGCCCCCCGAAACTCAGCCCCCCCGAACCCCCCCTGAAAAAAATTCAGCCCCCCCCCGAAACGAAATCCTGGCTACGGGCCTGTCTCACAGTTTTCTCAACGTCTTTATCAGAAACCTAATGATGTCCACACAGATCTTCTTTCATTATTGGGAACAGATGGAAGTCAGACGGTGCTAAATCTGGACTGTATGGAAGATGTCGTGTGGTGGTGAGATCCAGTCTCTGAAGTTTCAAATCTATGTGCTTTCATTTCAGGCGTCAGCATCCTGGGTACTCATCGTGCACAGATCTTCCGATAGCCAAGCAAAGCAATAATGTGACCTACACATTCTTGTGAAATGCTGATTATGCTGATTATTTCTCTCCGAGTGATATGATGATTGTCCTTAATCAATTTGTCAACCTTTTGCTTGTGAAACTCGGTGGTTGCTGTCACAAGACGCCCGACTCTTTGTCACGCAAGTCAGATGTTTCCACCTCAACATCTTTAAACTTACTCGCCCAACATCACACAGTACTCACATCAACACAATCACCATAAACAGCTTGCATTCTCTGATGAATCCCCTTTGGGGTGACACTTTCTTCTGTCAAGAATTCAATGACTGCATGTTGCTTAAGTCTCATTGACCAACCGTCTGCGCAAGGTTTCATACGTTGCACTTTAACAACACAACCGTTCAATGCTAAGGCTTCCTGCCAAAATGGAACTGTAGAGGAGAGCCTACTGAACAAGTCAGTACCTGCCGCATACCAGTACTGCCATCTGTTGAGGAACTACGAAGGTGGAGGCATTACTTTTCATTCAACCCTCGTCTCCACCACACACTCTTCTCCCTGGCTCCCATGCCTGCCTACAATACTTTTTTGCTTATGAGGTTCCAGAGCTGTTTCCATAGGTAAAGGTAAAGGTTTCCTCTTGACATTAAGTCTAGTCATGTCCGACTCTGGGGGGTGGTGCTCATCTCCATTTCTAAGCTGAAGAGCCGACATTGTCCGTTGATGCCTCCTAGGTCGTGTGGCCAGCATGACTGCATGGAGCACTGTTACCTTCCCGCTGAAGCGGTACCTATTGATCTACTCACATTAGCATGTTTTCGAACTGCTAGGATGGCAGAAGCTGGATCTAACAGCGGGATCTCACCCCACTCCTCAGATTTGAACTTCCACTTTTTGGTCAGCAAGTTCAGCAGCTCAGCGCTTTAAACCGATCTGCCATCGGGGGCTGTTTCCATACTTCACTATTATTGCAATTCAATACCATTTTACATACCATCCTAATATTTGTAGTTTGGTGTTGGAATTAGAATTCTCTTGTCTAGATCTACGTCTCCTATGAACCACTAGAATTTCCTACTAGAAAATTCTAAGTCCCTCACTAAACTATACATCCTGGGACTCCATAAGGAGTGAGCCATGGAGGTGGAAGTGCTAAATTGTGTGATATGGATATGCCACACTGCATGTTTTACATGTACATATACATCTGAATTTCAGAGTGAGAAATAAATTACATATTTGAGGGATGTATGTCAATCTGGAATACAAAAATTTCCCAGAAGTGAAGGTATCACTACATTATGTGAGCAATTTTGAAGTATTTCAGATTTTGGGATTCCAGATAAGGGATGCTCAGTTTGACTCTGTACTTCACAGAATATTATGGGAGAAATGAGAAAGGAGATTCTACATATTGTCATCAATTGAAGAGAGATATTGACAAGCTGGAATGTGTCCAGAGGAGGACGACTAAAGTGAACAAGGGTCTTGTGAACAAGCCCTATGAGAAGCAGCTTAAAGAGCTGGGCATGTTTCGCCTGAAGAAGAGAAGGCTGAGAGGAGACATGATAGCCATGTATAAATACGTGAGAGGAAGTCATAGGGAGGAGGGAGCAAGCTTGTTTACTGCTTCCATGGAGATTAGGACAAGGAACAATGGCTTCAAACTACAAGAAAGGAGATTCCATCTGAACATTAGGAAGAACTTCCTAACTGTGAGAGCCGTTCAGCAGTGGAACTCTCTGTCCCAGAGTGTGGTGGAGGCTCCTTCTTTGGAAGCTTTTAAACAGAGACTGGATGGCCATCTGTTGGGGGTGATTTGAATGCAATTTTCCTGCTTCTTGGCAGGGGCTTGGACTGGATGGCCCATGAGGTCTCTTCCAACTCTGATTCTATCTCAAACCTGTACCTTTCCTGTCTTTTCACATCATTTCTTCTGTCTTTTTTCATTCTCCCCATCCTGAATCCATTGCAGGGAAACAACAACGGAGACACTGCACAATTTCTTCAGATAGTTACTACTAGGATACCTCCATTAGGACGGACCCACATTTACTGCTGATCAGATTCTTAGGTGCTATGCTCTATCACTCTTGGGCTAAAAATGCACTCACTTGGTCCACTGTTCTCACGCATCTGATAGTGTCCTGCCTTTCCTGGGGGCACCCTCTCCATCCTCCTTCTCTTACTCAGGTTATATGATCCCCGTTGATCAGGCCAGGAGGAATGGCTGAAAGATATACACACCACACAGAGATGCTGGTGAGTGCTAACTTGGTGAACAAAATGTACAGACATGAGAAGCATCTCTGTACATGTGTATACAGTGCAAGCATCTACATTCTTAACCTCTGCTTATTTTGCCAAGAGCTAGACAAAAACCTGGAATGTTTAGGAAACAAATGTGGGTACAGAGGTTTTGTCTGCAGGCAAAAAGTAAACAAGACGACTTTAGAATTTTGGCTTATTGAGGATCAGGCAGCTTGGTGATGTAGTTTCCCAACTGCTCCCACTGCAAGTGAATGAGCTAGAACCGGGAAGTTAATATTCAGACGATAGCTCCCAGAATTCCCAACCAAAATGACCACTAGACATGTTATAGTTGGGGCAATCTGGGAGTTGCAATCCGAAAAAGTAACCTTTTAAAAGAATTGTAAGCTGTTGCTCTGCTTACGCAAACCTGGCATCCGACACAAGGCAGAGAAATGATCCATGGCTTGTTATTGCTTTAGCTTCTCAGGGAAAAAGCAAGCCAGAGGACTGAGTTGAGATGTCATGATAAGCAACCATGGGGAAATTGGTATTTTGTTTAGTTGTTCCTACCTGCAGTGAGACCAATTGGGCACCATGCACCAGCATGCTGTTTCATCCCCCAGCCCTGCAAAAATTCTGCTTATTTGGTTGTTGTAGGTTTTTTCGGGCTACGTGGCCATGGTCTAAAGGCATTCTCTCCTGACATTTTGCCTGCATCTATGGCAAGCATCCTCAGAGGTAGAGGATGCTTGGCATAGATGCAGGCGAAACGTCAGGAGAGAATGCCTCTAGACCATGGCCATATAGCCCAAAAAAAACCTACAACAACCCAGTGATTCCGGCCATGAAAGCCTTTGACAATATTCTGCTTGTTGTTAAACATGAATGAGTCTATAGTATGGGTCCTCAAACCTTTTAAAAGGAGAGCCAGGTCACAATCCCTCAAACTGTTGGAGGGCTGGATTATAATTTTCTTAAAAATTGAACGAATTCCTATGCACACTACACATATTTTATTTGTAGTGTAAAAACACTTTAAAACAATGCAATAATTAAAAAGAAGAACAATTTTAACAAAAAATGAACTTATGGGTATTTCAATGGGAAGTGTAGGCCTGCTTTTGGCTGATGAGATAGGATTGTTGTTGTGTTCTTTCAAGTCATTTCAGACTTAGGTTGACCTGAGTGAGGGCCAGGTAAATGACCTTGGAGGGCCGTATCTGGCTCTCAGGTCTTAGTTTGAGGACCCCTGGTCTATAGATTAGTCAGACAGGGGGCTATGGGACAGAGAAGGAAGTCTCTGAAGAGTTGTTTATGTGATCCATAAATTGTTGGTTGCTCTCCAACAAAACCTCGTCATGGCTGGATTGGAATGAGCCCCTATCTAGATTACAATCTGCCAACTGACTGTTTCATAAGTGAAAACCAAGTCCTCCCTTCTATGGCATTGGGGGATTCCCATGTTAATGCGGTAATGGTTCTGCTCAAAGTTTTTGAGAGACCTCTCCAAGGTGATGACTCCTGTCTCCTAAACAGATTCACTAGCTTGGGTGGTTCTTTCAAATTTCAAACTAAATCTCACTTCCTGACACATATCAGTGCCTCAAGGCATCATTGCCAGGGATTGTATCTGGTGTAATACCTAGTTCCTAAGGAACACGACAAAAACATCCAATGAACATCTACAGAAAAATCATATTATACTGCCTGAAAAAAGGAAGTTCACCTAAACCTTCTGTTTCCTGCACTCTATTCCTGACAAAGTCCTTTTGTGTATCTTTAAGAAGTTTTTTTTTTGCTATTTTGAACCCTTTTTTTCTATTTCACATTTTATTTTCTGCCTACTGCTGAAATTTCAACTTTACATCATGGATCCCCTAACTCAAGAAACAGTCTCTATTCTGAGCAGCAGAAACTCACCAGAGGAGACATCGTGACCAAGGTCTGTTCCACCACCCAGATTGGCCTCCGGCTCCTATATAAAATGGTCTGAATTGTTAGCCTGATACACACATACACACACACATACATACAAACATTCAAAAAGTTCTGAAGTAAACAGTTAATAAAAATTCAGTTAATTGCCTGCACTACCATGGGGCAAAGTGAAGCAGGTGTTGTGAAAAAATCAGCGAATTATTTGCTATTTAATTTGCCATTGTATATCATTAGTGGCCATCATATGGTCCTCCAGACGTGGTTGAATTGCAATGGACAGGATTTCTTCCCATTGGCTATGCCAGATATGTCTACTTGGAGATGTAAATTGACAACATCTGGGCTACATAATTCTCATTATGTTTGTGTATTTTTAGAGTCGGTGGTTAGGTGGAAGTTCCGCATATGGGATTTTCTACTGTATCTGCTGGTTTTGGGTAGCATGCATCTTGATTTGGATGGGCCAGAAAAGATGAGTCGCTTCAGGCAACAACCCTAAACAACCCTAAACGCTTCCGGCCCAATTTACCTGTCGGAACATATCTCTCCTTATAAATAATCTAGATTGTCTGGGGAGGCCCTGCTCTTGATCCCACCTTCTTCGCAGATGCATCTGTTGGGGACGAGAGGCAGGGCCTTCTCAGCGGTGGCCCCTCAGCTGTGGAACGCCCTCCCTAGGGATGTCAGATCGCCCCCTCTCTTTTGACATTTCGTAAAAACATCAAAACCTGGCTTTTCGAGCAAGCTTTTGCAAATGCAGTGTAACAGGTAAATATAGAACTATGGCACGATTGGACAATGCGACTGGACAATGATTTTAGTAAGGAAATGCTGAAGATATGTGCTTTTATTAGTTTTCTATGGTTTTTTTTATATTATATGCTAAATGTTTTTAATTGTATTTTATGTTGTTGGAGCATCAAATTGTTGCCAACTGTAAATTGCCTTGAGTTGCCTTCGGGCTGAGAAAAGCGGTATATAAACATGGTAAATAAAATAAATAAATAAAGGTTCATTACTCATTCTCCCACCTGCTGCCTACCAAAAGAAGGGAAAAAGGTAGGACAGCTAAATAGCTCATAATTCTACACCCACTCATGTCTCAAGACGATAAGGCTGGGAATCGGAAAGTAACATCATGATGATACACATCCTTATCAGACTGTGGTGCTCTTCTTCTTGATTGTTCACTTTAACCCTGCCCGGTGCTTGGAAAATATAAATGGTAAACAGAGAATTGTAGGTGGGAGCTCAGATGAGAACTCTGAGCTCACTTATACTCCTAAAACAGGGGTCCTCAAACTTCTTAAACAGAGGGTCAGGTCACAGTCACTCAAACTTTTGGAGGGCTGGATTATAATTTGAAAAAAAAATGCCCCATGAATTCCTATGCACACTGCACATACCTTATTTATAGTGCAACAAACACTTTAAAACTATAAAATAATAAAAATGAAGAACAATTTTAACAAATATAAACTTATTAGTATTTAAATTGGAAGTGTGGGCTTGTTTTTGGCTGATGAAATAGTATTATTGTTGTTGTTGTGTGCTTTCAAGTCATTTCAGACTTAGGTTGACCCTGAGCGAGGGCTGAATAAATGACTTTGAAGGGCCGTATCGGGCCTTAATTTGAGGACCCCTGCTCTAAAACAGCAACAATTGGAGATATTAAAAACATCGGCATGGGGTTTAAGAAGACACTCATTTTGTGCATCCTTTAGTGTGTATTATTTCACAAAAAGCATGAGAGAGAATGCTTGCATTGAAGTCATATGTTCTCTTGAAAATGACAATTGTACAGTATCACACACTTCCACAAGAGAATAACTGGAGCAAAAAGAAAGAGAGATGGGTAGGGAGAAAAGCATCCTTGATTGTCATGAAAAGAGGATTGGGGGACATATGACAGACTGAATGTTTCCTACCCGTTTAAGGGCCATGGTGGTAGAACCTATCCCTCCCCTCACATCCAAAGAAATTCCAGAAAAAGTTATATATGAGCCAAAAGATAAATGGCGGAAAATACAAAATGCATAGAATTTCACATACAGATTGAGCATCCTTTATTAGGAATTCTGTAATATTCCACAATCCAAAATTAGCCACATGGATGGCAGATATTATGACACCTTTGCTTTCTGATGATCCAGTATATATAAATGTTTTTTTTCATGCATAGCATTGGAAAGTGAATTCCAAGGATATGTGTTTCCCCAATTTTTAGAGTTCATTTCATTTTCACCACCTTTCTTTTTTTATTTCACGTGCATCACCCAGTAACCAAAACTTTGTGTCACGTCTGCTCAGGTGTTTATTAAGTTTGATCCATATGAACCTTGATCACCTTTTCAATTTATAACCAGAAACTTCCTGCAATATGAATTATTGTTGCCTGATTGATCCACAAAAAGATCCCTCCCCCCAAAATGGCTCTGAATTACTCACTTTTTTCACTTTCAAGCGACATGTTGGAACTTTTCAATACAGGATCATCATATGCATCAACATCCAGGTTCTTTTGAAAACCAGCTTCGTAGTCCTCCTTTGAGAAAGAATTAAAAAAGATAAATTTAATCATCTTTCTTCTAAACAGATACAGTGCGCCCTCATTATCCACTTGGGTTTGGTATCTATAGCCGCCTGTGGATACCAAAATCAAGTCCCATTATATGAAATTGTATAATAAAATTGTGTCTTATATAAAGGAATGAACAACTAAAATGAATGCCGAAGAGAGCCTGAAGAACTGTTAAATGGTGGGAACTACAGCAGGAATGCCTATATATCAGTGTGGTGGATGTTCTGAACCCCCCCCCCCCCAATGAATCCAGAACCTGTGGATATGGAGAGCCAATGATAAAGGGAATCAATGCACTTTTGTTTTGGCCTACCATGCTGTTCCCCCAAACACCTTCTGATTTTGAAGGTTCGCCCTCAATGTATACACAGTAGGATATTGCTTTGAGAATTTTTCCCCACCTCACTCTGAGCTGCCATTCCCTTTCGGCCTCCAGTCTGTCTCTTTCTGTATTCTTCTTCTTTTTCTATTAACACTCAGCCTGGAGGTAACATGCCCTGGTTGACTGGATCTGTAGGAAATCCAAAAGGAAGGCAAATGGGTCAGTGGTCCTAGGCTCATGAACTTATCATTGCATCTCTTTGTGCTGAATGGGGTTCACTAGATGGATGGTGCTGATCTGCCTCTGGATGCATCTACACTGTTGGAGGACAGGAAAAGAGATTTAAAGATGGGCTCAAAGCCAACCTTAAAAACTGTGGCATAAACACCGAGAACGGGGAAACCCTGGCCCTTGAGTGCTCTAGCTGGAGGTCAGCTGTGACCAGCAGTGCTGTAGAATTTGAAGAGGCACGAATGGAGGGTGAAAGAGAGAAATGTGCCAAGAGGAAGGCACGTCAAGTCAACCCTGATCAGGACCGCCTTTCACCTGGAAACCGGGAGCTCAAGAATAGGGCTCCACAGTCACTTATGTACCCACTTTTTTGTTTGTCATGTCAGGACCGACTTGAGAAACTGCAAGTTGCTTCTGGTGTGAGAGAATTGGCTGTCTGCAAGGACGTTGCCCAGGGGATTCCTGGATGTTTTGATATTTTTACCATCCTTGTGGGAGGCTTCTCTCATGTCCCCGCATGAGGAGCTGGAGCTGATAGAGGGAGCTCATCTGCGCTCTCCCCGGATTTGAACCTGCGACCTATCGGTCTTCAGTCCTTCCGACACAGGGGTTTAATCCACTGCACCACTGGGGGCTTCTGCCAATACCCAGTGCCAGGACACCACACTTGGAGGACAATCTTACTCAGACAACGAGGGATCGCCTAAGTAAGTAAGCATCTACACTGTAGAATTAGTGCTTTTTGACACCAATTTAATTACCATAGATCAATGTTATGGAATCCTGGAATCTGTAGTGTGGTGAGGCAGAGAAGGCTAAAGAGATTGTAAAACTCCAGCTCCCATAATTCCATTGCATTGAGGCATAGCAGTTCAAGTGGTCTCATCATGCATTACTGTATAGATTAATTCTTAGACCAGAGTTTCTCAGCCTGTGGGTCCCCAGGTGTTTTGACTACAACTCCCAGAAATCCCAGCCAGTATACCAGCGGTTAGGATTTCTGGGAGTTGAAGGCCAAAACAGCTGGGGACCCACAAGTTGAGAACTATTGCTCTATATCAGTGGTTCTCAACCTGGGGTCCCCAGATGTTTTTGGCCTTCAACTCCCAGAAATCCTAACAGCTGGTAAACTGGCTGGGATTTCTGGGAGTTGTAGGCCAAAAACATCTGGGGATCCCAGGTTGAGAACCACTGCTCAATATGCAATAAACAGATTAGTTTGCCTTCGATAATAGGAACAGTTATGGCACCTTGTGACTCTTCTGTCTGTAGCAATTGTTGATCATGAGACAATGAATCCAGTCTGGGTTGCAGTCCAAATTTCATAAGAAATATTCAAAGTGCTGAATCTATTCCTGGTTGTTGTTCAGTACCTTGGATAGATCCTTTCAAGTGGATTCACTGCCCCATAGGCATGGAAGCCACAAACCTCAGAGTGTCTTGCAGAGAACCCGAACCATAATCTATCTCTGAACCCTCTCTCTGGCCACTTCCATGTTGACCCTTTGATATGGAATCACTATGCTTTGTTCATTCGTGTTTTATGGAACAATCCAATAACAACATTGCAGTCTAGCCTTTTGTTGATGTTGGCCTCCCAACATATTTTAACCTGATTTGTGAGGGCAGTTTTGTGGTAATAAAATGCAATGTGAACATAACCTATATAGCAAAGTGCTTTTAATGGTCCCTTTGCCATTCATGAAATGTTTCCCTATTTGTGGGTTCTCCCTGTTTTTTCCTACTGTGAACCAGTTTGGGATTAGCAGCTCATAGTTCACATGAGGAAGTATGTCCCTCACATTGACATTACATGATTTTAGGGATAATGATCTATCGATTTTCCCTTGATTAATTCCTCTTCCAGGAATGATGGGTGGAACGAAGAGTTAGATGATAATAGGGTAAAATATAATAAAATAATAGGGTAAAATATAATAAAACAATACTTATTAGCAAAACAGCATTTAAAATCCAGGGAAAGTTTTGAAAAAGCAACATATGCTTTTTAAATTTTGAAATGCATTACCATAAAGTATTGGGAGTAGTGCTGGCTATCTATGAGATTGAAATGAAAAACAGTAATGAATGTTGAAAGCACCTCCCCAAAAGTGCATACAATTAAGGAAAGCTATTCATAAATGGAAATTCATAAATTATTTTAAAATTAATTTCCTCTCCATGCTTATCAGGAAGTAATAAACCTAAGATTTAAAAATATATGGTAAAACATAATGGGATCCCTCATGAGTAAATGTCATAGGAGCTTCTTGATTATGGGGAAGAAGGCCCTTTCTAAACTGCTATATAATCTAGATTATCAAAGCAGATAATGCGCCACCGGGGGCTCCCCCCACTGAGGTGAGAAAAGTGGCATATAAATGAAGTAAATAAATAAAATAAATAAAATTTCCTTAAGCTTAGGCTTCTCCAGATCTTCCCTGATGTTATCACACACTGTTTTATGTATTGGAGATGTTCATCTGCTCCTTATCTCTTTCATCTAATGATCACTTGAATGACAAATATAAGCAGTTGCAGAAAGGGTGTTGAAGTTAAAAGATCTGTTATGCTGGAAACTGACATATAGGGCAGGAGCACAATGCCCATCTTCCTCATCCCAAACCAAAAGACAACATGCTGCAACAGGGAGTATGTTCAATTTTCACAATTGCCTTCTCACATTTTTCAGTCTTTGTTAAAAAGTTGATATATAGCTTGCTCTTCTCTCCAAGCGGGACTCGTGGCAGTTTATTTATTTATATTTATTTATATATATTTATATTTATAGATAAATATATTTATTTATATTTATATACCATCCCTTTCAGCCTGGAGGCGACTCGTGCGGTTTACAGTTGGTGCCAAGAACATAAAATACAAATTCAATACAATAAAAACAATCGGATAATAAAACCATAACAAAATCAATAAAAACATGAACATTAAAAATATTGTCCTATCACATCGTCCAACCAGTTCACAACACGATTAAAAACAAATATAGATAAAATCACAATGTTGTAATGTCGCATTTGCCTTCCTCTGAAGCTGAGAGAATGCGACTTGCCCAAGGTCACTCAATGGGTTTCCATGGCTGAGCAAGGAGTCAAGCTTTGGTCTCCAGAGTTATAGTTCAACACTCAAACCACTACACCACACTGGTTCACCTCACATTGGTCTGTCTGTCTGTCTCATATCTATCACTTATGTGTCTATCAGCAGAAAATAATATTGCAGGTTTGTTGAAGAAGAGGAAAAACAATTAATATATATGTCAAAAAATAAAGAGAAATTGTATTACTCATTAGCATTTAAAATCTAGGGAAAGTTTTGAAAAAGCAACATGTGCTTTTTAAATTTTGAAATGCATTACCATAAAGTATTGGGAGTAGTGCTGGCTTAACAGGTTTTGAAAAGAGACAAATTCAAACAGAAGAGATAAGGTGCTTATCTCTCTCCCTATTTTGTTGTACAACTCCCATTAGGCTAGTCAGCCTGCTCAACAGTCAGGATGATGGAGGTTGCAGTCCAACAAGATCTGGAAGCCCAGAGATTCTCCCCCCGCCCTTCATGGACATAGCTAAAACTTCCATGTACAGATGCAATAGACCAGAGCTATGGAACTATTGCCCTTGAAACACCTGGAAGACAAATTTTTCCACCCCTGCGGTATGCCCACGGAGGTTAAAAACAGTTAGCTACCAGCATTTTGACCAGCTTACAGGCTTTTCAAAGGAACTCAACTGGCCACCATTCAGAGACAATTGAACGTTGATTTGGTTCAACAGGAAAAAAAAAATCTAATATTGCTTGTAAGAGTTCACAAGAGTTACTTGTTTGGGCTGTAGATCCAAAATTTCCTAGCAATTTCTCAGTAATCATGTTGGTTGACTTATTCTGGGATTTTAAGTCAAAAATGTTTGTAAGCAAGGTTCTTTATACTAGTGTGTCATGCCAGAGAGCCACTATGTCTTCCAAATATATCTGCCAGGATTTTCAAACTTTCCATAAACCGGGTTGTTGTAGGTTTTTTAGGCTATATGGCCATGTTCTAAAAGCATTTTCTCCTAACGTTTCGCCTGCATCTATGCGGCCTCACAACCTTTGAGGATGCTTGCCATAGATGTAGGCGAAACATCAGAGAGAATGCTTCTAGAACATGGCCATATAGCCTGAAAAACCTACAACAACCCAGTGATTCCAGCAATGAAAGCCTTCAACAATACATTTTCCATAAACTATTCCATAATTTCACTAGCAAATATATCCTTTCTACCCCCAGTTTGAATGTTTCTCTCCCCACACTCTAAAAGCTTAGTAGGTTGAACAATTTTATTTTGAATGCTTGCAGACAAAACCATAGTCACTTCTTGTGACAAAGTAGACACAGTCCCCATAAGAAACAAACATTTTAAAAATCCAAAACAAAACAAAACCCCAAAATAAGTGAATTGATATGAAGACAACTCTGGAATCCAAGCATAGATCTCGAAAAGAGATGGAAGCAAAGATGGACAGTCTTTCAGATGTCAAGATGAAGAGCAAATAGGTGAGGGAGACAAATGTGGGGAGAAGGCACCCTACGAAGGCATTCTTTCAGGGTCCTTCTGAACAGGCCCTATATCCCAGGATCTGATCACAGTTTTTTTTGTTTTTGCTTTATGATGGATTATATGAGTCCACACTACCAGATAATCTGGAATAAACAGAAAACCTAGGATCAGATTCTGGGATATAGGGCTGTCTGGAAGGGCCCTCAGACTCATCTATTCCCAAAGCTGCTTTTGCTCCATCTTCTAGAATTGTCTTCTCCTACTGTCCATTTCCTTCTATTTCCACCAGCATCTAGTAGGCTCCTTGACAAGTCAACTGAGAACCATACTGGACCAGAACAAAGGCTTATCTTAACCAATCTCCTGCTCCTACATTGGCCAACAAATACCTCTGGGAAGGCCATGGCAGGACCCAAGTGCAAGAACACATTCCCATTCACGTCTCCTAACAATTGGTAGGGCTTACCTACCTGTATGTTTGGAGGAAGTTCTCAATGCAAAGGTGAAGGCGGTTTAAGCCAGGTAGCTTTTGGCTGCTCCGTGGAATCCCTGTCTCCGTAGTGGTTTCCTCCAGACCACAGAAGACCCAAATGAGACGAGGGATCTCTCCTGAGGAGCCTCAAAGTCCTGACTCATGGTTGCTGCTTTAATCTTGTCTTGCCACCTGGCTTTGGAGGTGCTGGATATTCTAGATTCTACCTCTTTTTCCAAAGGCCAGTAAACAACATTATCTGGGGTTTCCATGTGGTGCAGCCTCCCTACGAAATTTCTGCCCTCTTGAACATTCATGGCACGCCCCTCACATCTGACCAACCTTGGTCTCAATGGCACGAGAAAGTAACTGGTCAGGTTCAAGGAATCCCCAAGCAAGGATCCCCCCTCTTTTCCCCCAATCAGCTTGTAGTCCTCCAGTATTACGTTGGTTTCTCAGCTTCGCATCCTGGAGATAAACATGTTTTCAGATTTCAAGGGGATTCCCTTTGGTAGATGGATAGTAGACGAAGGGGGAAATCCTCAAATGAAGTGTTTGGGTTGTTTTTAGAGTTTCTCATGACGATTTTGACAAGTCAAGGAGCACATTTCACAGCTCTCCATTGAAATGGCTCACCTAGAAGAGAGAAAGGAGAATGAGAACAGGGCAGGAACTGTATCCCTGTTGACCTTATTAACTTTGAATGAGTTCTAACAGGTGCCTTTTACCTGGCATACAGAGAAGCAAGGCTCTGCTTAGAATACCTGTTCTTTCTCACCACAGCTGTTGTAGGTGTCATTCTACATACTATTTGTCAAATATATGCCAAAAAATCTGTCCAAATTGTAATCGTAACTTGGCTAGAGGTATCAAAAGGCTTGTTGAGGGTAGAAAAAGTCAACCATCATTTCCTTGAACTATAGCTTCAACTATATGCACTGTTCCAATTTGGAAAATTTCGACTCATCGTAAACTGTGGAAGAAATGATTTATAAATTCTTTGCTACTTGAACAGTGAGCAGTATCTTAATTACATTTGCATAATTGTCTTATGAATAAAAATTAGTGTTCTTTCCATGTTTATAGACAAGGCTCATGTTCTGTATGTGGGCTTCCCAATGGGCAACTGCTTAGACTAGAGCAGTGGTCCTCAACCTGTGGGTCCCCAGGTGTTTTGGCCTACAACTCCCAGAAATCCCAGCCAGCTTACTAGCTGTTAGGATTTCTGGGAGTTGAAGGCCAAAATATCTGGGGACTCATAGGTTGAGAATCACTGGACTAGAGAGAGTTGAGTAGGGTTCTTCTGATTCACTGCTGTATTAAGAAAGAAGGGGGATACCTCTTCTCATGAGATGGCATAGTCACCCTGTATTTTGTTTCAGTTGCAACTTTTATTACGTTATGCTCACCCATCCAAAAACAAATGAATGGTACAACTAAAACAGTGGTTCTCTACCTGGGGTCCCCAGATGTTTTTGGCCTACAACTCCCAGAAATCCTAACAACTGGTATACTAGCTGGGATTTCTGGGAGTTGTAGGCCAAAAACATCTGGGGTTGAGAACCACTGATCTAAACTGTAGAATGAATGCAGTTTGATACCACTTTAACTGCGATGGTTCAATTCTATGGAAATGGGAATTGTAGTTTTACAAGTTATTTAGCCTTCTTTGCCAAAGAGTCCTGGTGCTGTTGTTGTTCATTCGTTCAGTCGTTTTCGACTCTTCGTGACCTCATGGACCAGCCCATGCCACAGCTCCCTGTTGGCCATCACCACCCCCAGCTCTTTCAAGGTCAATCCAGTCTCTTCAAGGGTACCATCCATCCATCTTGCCCTTGGTCAGCCCCTCTTCCTTTTTCCTTCCATTTTCCCCCGCATCATTGTCTTCTCTAAGCTTTCCTGTCTTCTCATAAGTACTTCATCTTTGCCTTTATATCCTTCCCTCCAATGAGCAGTCGGGCTTTATTTCCTGAAGTATGGACTGGTTGGATCTTCTTGCGGTCTAAGGCACTCTCAGAACTTTCCTCCAACACCACAGTTCACAAGCATCTATCTTCCTTCGCTCAGCCTTCCCTATGGTCCAGCTCTCACATCCATAGGTGACTATGGGGAATACCATTGCTTTTACTATGCGGATCTTCGTTGCCAGTGTGATGTCTCTACTCTTCACTATTTTATCAAGATTGGAAATTGCTCTCCTCCCAAGAAGTAAGCATCTTCTGATTTCCTGGCTGCAGTCTGCATCTGCAGTAATCTTTGCACCTAGAAATACAAAGTCTGTCACAGCCTTCATGTTTTCTTCCTCTATTTGCCAGTTATCAATCAGTCCGGTTGAAATAATCTTGTTTTTTTTTGTTTAACTGCAACCCAGCTTTTGCACTTTCTTCTTTCACCTTGATTAGAAGGCTCCTCAGTTCCTCCTCACTTTCAGCCATCAAAGTGGTATCATCTGCATATCTGAGGTTGTTAATGTTTCTTCCTGCAATTTTAACCCCAGCCTTGCATTCCTCAAGCCCCGCACATCACATGATGTGTTCTGCATACAAGTTGAATAGGTTGGGTGAGAGTATACAACCCTGCCATACCAAATTACAAATTCCATGATTTCATAGCATTAAGCCATGGGAGTAAAAGTGGTGTCGAACTGCATTAATGCTACAGTATTGATGCACCCTAACAAAGTGAGGTTTCAGACAAATCTTTCATTGTTTCATTGTCCTGCAATATTAATTGAATTCTCAAAGGCTTCAGACACCATTGTTTTCTATGAATACCCATTCATTCTTTTATCATGGAGCCCCCAGTGGCGCAGTGGGTTAAACCCCTGTGCTAGCAGGACTGAATACCGACAGGTTGCAGGTTCGAATCCGGGGAGAGGCAGATGAGCTCCCTCTATCAGCTCCAGCTCCTCATACGGGGACATGAGAGAAGCCTCCCACAAGGATGATAAAAACATCAGATCATCTAGACGTCCCCTGGGCAATGTCTTTGCAGACGGCCAATTCTCTCACACCAGAAGCGACTTGCAGTTTCTCAAGTCGCTCCTGACACGACAAAAAAAACAAACTTTTATCATTACGTCTGACTTTTTTTAAACTGGGGGAAATTAAGGCGAAAACGAACAAACAAACAAAAAATAGAATAGCTGTGCAGTGCTTTCTGACTGTTGATGTGGGGAGACTTCTATCTGGAAAATGTCCAAAGAAAGACATATTGTAAAGTCTTCATTACGAAATTTGAGCAATGCAGTTTATGCAATCTCCCAAAATTATATGCATGAGAGAGCCATTATTTGCATTATCTGCACCACAATAATAATAATAATAATAACGGTGATTCCAAAATGGTTGCCAATGAGAACATGTTTCCTTGTCTCGTCTATTATGATTAACAAAAAAGAATTTTAAAAAGGCCAAGGAGAATTAAAACATTACTGTTTAATTAGATTCTTTATCAAATCATCAACAGTGTGTGTGTGTTAAACTTCTAGTATGAGTGGAAGAAATGAGACAGTGTTGAGGCTGCTGCTCAACGGTTTCTAACTATTTTATTTTCAGCCACAACTATTGTGTTTTGGGATAAAAAAGGAAAGAAGATCCATGTTTTCAGGCTTGTAAGAATTTTCTTCGCATATTTATTGTTTTGTTGAACTATCTGTACATATATGTCAATAGAATGCTTGAGTTGCTCAAATGATTCTAAGGGGAAGTAGTCTAAAAAAGCATAATCCATATAGAGACATGTACACAGTTCAGGGAACATCACCATGATTTTGCATTAGCTTAAACTGCACTTCAACCACACAGTCAACTCTCTGAGATTTTAGGACTGGGATCTGTATCTCAGGGTTACCCTTGCAATATTACAAAAAAAAAATTATTTACTCTGTTTATCCCTTGCCTTTCTTTACCCCAAAGGGGACTCAAGACGGCTTACATAAAGGCAATGCCTCTATGTAAGCCTTAAAACACATACGATTCAATGCCTTAAAACACATACAATTCCAAAATAGTAATATTAAAATTAAATTTAAATTAATGCATATTAAACATTTAAAAACATTACATTCCATATTAAAATCGCACTACCCACAATCGTAGTCCAATCGCAGAAACCGGGATGTGATGTTATATTGATAGTTACAATGAGCAGCTCCTGGCAATACCTTGAACATCAAGGACACTTACACAGAGATTTTGGTTCAAGTAATGCCAACTCTATCAAATAAGTAATACACACACATTTAAAGGCAGTGTACTTGCCCAGAGATTTCTCTCCTCCCCGGTCTCTGCGATCTAGAAAATAGAGCCAAAGCCCTGGAAGCTAAGGTTAGACCCTGAATTCTGGGAACCCTACTTTCTTTTTCTGCACTTTATCCTTATAATAGCCCTGTGAGATAGATAAACCAAGAGAGGAAGACTGACCCAAAACAAGCCACACGTGAGTTTTGTAGCTTGTTGAGAACTAAGAACGGGATCTCCCAAGCCAGCGCTATAACTACTTCACTGCACAGTTCTCTTATCATATGTATTTATTTATTTTATTTATTTTATTTATTTTATTTATTTTATTTATTTTATTTTATTTCCTATATTTCTATCCTGCTCTTCTCACCCCCCAAAATTGACTCAGAGCAGCTTACAGTTACGGCAAAATTCAATGCTGCATTACAAATACAAATAAACAAATAAACATACGAAGCAATAAAAACAGATAAAAACATATAAATACAATTATAACAGATTAAAACACAGTGCCTAGATCCATAGTCATTGTTAGTGCTGATACATTTGTGTCACATTCCATATTACACTATTCCCCAAACCTGGTGTCATACCCAGGTCTTTAACTTTTTCCTGAATACTGGGGGGTGGGGGGGGGCAGTCTAATGTCAATGGGAAGGGAATTCCATAGCCAAAGGACCACCATTGAGAAGGTCCTGTCTCTTGTCTCCACCAATCGCACCTGCAACAGGGATGGGATCAAGAGCAGGGCCTCCCAGGCAAATCTTAACATTCTAATTCTCATTATTAGGAAGAGATATGTTTAGACAGGTAAGTTGGACCAGAACTGTTTAGGGCTTTATAGGTCAAAGCCATCACTTTGAATTGTGCTTGGTAGCAAACTGGCAAACAGTGGAGCTGACGTAACAGGGGGGATGTTTGCTCCTTGTA